TATATTAATAATAATGATTAATGATTAATAAATAAATTACAGTTACAATTCAGAAAACAAAACAAAAAATTTAATCAGTTTTTTAATTTTAAATAAATAAACATGAAAGCAGTTTTAAAACTGCAGTTTTAAAAACTACACACGTGTATATTTTTAGAAAAAGTAGAATTATTTAAAAAAAAATTAAAAAAAACTGAAACTGTAATATTGCGTCTTCTTTTTGGTAGATCTATTGAAGACTTCCATAACCAACGAAAAAATGCTCTCGAAAATGCACGAAATAGAGATTTATCTAATTGAGAAGGAGAAGAACAATTTTACTGCGAGAAACGTTTTTTTGTTCATAAATGGTAATATTTTTGTTGGTATTTCTCACTATCTTTTCCTTTATTTATGTTAGACATGATTTTTTTTTTGTGATAGATATCTATTTAGTTTTGAATTTGTGACAAATATTTAGCTATAGTAGATTATGACTTCTTTGAATGGTACATCGTGCACAAAACATATTGAAAGAGAGGCTAAATCTTGAATGGTAAGTTTTGTGGTAAATTTCAATAGAAATATGTGATAAATTATCAAGAAAAATATTAATAAGTCACTCTATAATGATTAATGTTGAAGAACTTTACCTCACCCCTACCCCAATCTTCTGAAATGGATGTTAAAATGTGACTTAATTTGAAAAAAATATATATAAAGATCATTGTTTACCCATTAAATTTAAATAGGTAGTTTTAAAACTTTTCGTTACATTTCTACTTATGCACAAACTCTAAAAACTTATGAACAAAACAGTGATAAAATAAACAAATTTAGAAACATGTGATAGGAAAAATGGGGTAGTCCTTTTAGTATCCTTTTTTTTTTTATCCAATAGATATTTGTTATTCTATTTAATATTTTTAAGTCATTTAATATTTCTGTGTTGTGACACAAGAAGTTGGTCAATACCAAGAGTTCACAAGGTAAGGTTCTCACGTTTTTCTTTTTTTATGATTTTTAGATTTTCAAGAAGCTTATAAAATATAATTTCTAGAATTTCTGCTCTATTAAAATTATAATTAAAACTAAAATTAACATTAAAATTAAAATTAACTATTTGTAGTTAATTTAAATTAAAAATCTAAATTTTAAAAAAATAAAATAGAAATTTAAAACATGTTTTAAAATTAATGTTATATAATTTATAACCGTTTTTATAAATCACGTGATATAATGCTTTAAAGTTTTTTCGCCTTTTTAGATAATGCTTTAAATTATGTTGTAACTTCCTAGCCGTTACTGTTCTCAATTTTTACTTTTATTTAGTGGTTAATTAATTAAAAATTATGTGGGCAACACTATTGTTTACTTTTTCAAAGGTTCATTTGAAAAAATCAAGCAACACATTAACAATACATGCTTTGTATCTATATGCTGTTTCCTTCTTTGGTAGAATTTGCTTATATTAGGGAGAATGAATACAAATCTTTTGAATATATAGTTATCTATCGTAAATTTATAATTCAAATAGGCAACTATCAATAATTTTTGAAATGCTTATATCTTTCGGTACAATATATCTATTCAATGTGAACTCATCAATGATAAGCAATGAAGAATGGAGTTATACAACGATGGACCGTAGCACATTGCAAACATTTACTTACCTTATTTTTTATTGAATTGATTCTTCAAGATAAGAAGGCAGAAAATCATTTTTGAAAAGTTATTCTTTCATCTATTGATTTTAAAGTTCTCTGTTGGATTATATTAGGACTGATTTGCTAATTTTTTTTTTTTTTGAAAGATTGTTTTGTGAAAGTTATTTTTTTAACATGTAGATTAGTTTATCAAATTGCAATAATTATCTTAGATCCTCAGCTTAATTTGTTTTTTTGGTGTTTAAAGTATGCTTTATGAATATTACTCTTTTAATAATACATTATGTGTTATGTTTTTCAAGTTGCAACAATCATCAGGATTTTATAAGTTATATGGCCAAAAAATAATAAAATTACTCACTAAGATTTTAGAATGCTATTATTTCATGTACCTTATTATGTGTAATTTTTTAAAGATTTATGTGTAAATATTATTCATTAAAATAATGGAAGAATTTACGCAGCAAACTAATTTTTTAAAAACAATCAAACTTTCATATAAAATATTATTATTAATTAAGATTAAAACTCATCTTTGGATTTTAAAATAAAAAGTGTCAATTTAATTATCTCTTAAAAATATGGCTAGAAGATGTACAAATAATAATTTGTTTTAAAAAAGATTGTTTATACTTAATACGAACTCAATTCAGAAATGTGAATATAATATTTTAATTTATAAATGACATAATAATAATGAAAACTAATTAGAATATTTACCAAAATAAAAATAAAATACATGCAAAAGATGCCACAAATTTTATAACAAAATTTTATATATCATTAATAAGTTTAGACAATCAAATAATTTTAAAATATTAATATTTAAGTATAAATATAATTTTATAGGAAGTAAAAATGTATGACGTAACTCAACATTAAAATTGTGTAGCAGATAAATTAAATTAGAAAATATTTTTTTTAAAATAATATTTTATTAACATACTTCCCCTCAAATTAATTTTCTAAATTACAATTAGAATTTGATAGTTTTAAAACTTCCCATTATAAACAAGCTCTAAAAACTTATTAACCAAAAATGAATAAAATAATTTAAACTAGATTTCTTAAAAATCTATATATATTGAAATTTATTTGCAAACCTGAAATGTTTTTAAATCATTTTTTAAAAAGAATAAATTGAGAATATTATAAATCCATATTTTAAAAAATAGTGTCGCATGTCATCATCAAAACATTTATCGAATTTTCTGTTTGGATATTTGTTTTAAAAAATTATCTCCAAAAAATATAATTTTAATTTGAAAAACAATTATATAAAAACTTTTTTTACATAATTTTTAATTTGAAAAAAAATTATATAAATTTTTTTTACATAAAAGTGGCAAAAACAAAAAACGGATAGTTATATATTATTAATAATTTGCATATTTTCTTTTAAAAAATAATATATTATTAATAATTTGGATATTTGTTTTAAAAAATTATCTCCAAAAAATATAATTTTAATTTGAAAAACAATTATATAAAAACTTTTTTTACATAAAAGTGCCAAAAACAAAAACGGATAGTTATATATTATTAATAATTTGCAGATTTTTTTTTCAAAAAAAAAAAATTATTAATAATTTGCAGACTTTCAAAAAAAATTATTAATTAAAAAACTTAAAAAAATAAAATATTATTAATAATTTACAGACTTTCTAGAAAAATTATTAATTAAAAAATAATAAGAAATTACAAATCAACTAAATGCACGTATTTAGTATTTTGTACATTCTATTTTATGAGATTGTATTAAGATTAAATGAAAATCGTCTTATTTTGCAAGATTAAATGAAAGAGGAGTGTATTAAAGAGGTTACAACATGCTTTGTAAATTATTTTTAGATTTTGGCCAAAAGTAGAGACAAAATTTTTAATATTACATTTTAGATTGATCTATGAATTTATAATTTAATTATTTAGCACAAATATCAATTGAACACATGCTAAATATGCTATCAGTCTTCATTATACTAGAAGAAGGAGAAGTTGTTAGAATAACGTTTAGTGTCTTTGAAGAACATACACTCATTGCACATAAATTAGGGTAAACATTTGTTAGCATTAAATGTATACAAAAAAAAAAGACATTACATATGATTATATACATGCACTTTGTTACTTAATAATAATTTATATTAGTTATTTTGAATTTAAAAATTATTATATTTTAAAATATTCGCGCAACGCGCGGGTACGTATACTAGTTCTAGTAATAGTAGAGGTCCGTTAGTAGTTAGTACTTAGCATGAATGAACCGAATATGTTATGATGATGATGATACAAATAATCCTAACTATTAATGGATGACATGACAAAATCATTTTTAAAAATACGACGACATATTTAAAAAAAATTCAATACTAAATTTTATGGAACCTGTGAATACATTATTGGATATACTTTGATGAAGGAAAGCAAATAAAAGGTAACTAGAAAGAAACTTTGAGTTGGGGATAAGCACATAGAAGCTAAGTTGCATCTTAAAGGAGAGTCACTTGTTCACACATATATTTATTTGGACTTTAAACTAACTTCCAAATTGCTTTTTATTTATTTTTGAATTAAATTATTTACATCCATAGAATTTACTATCTATATCTTTCCCTATCAATGCTCTCCAAGATATTCTCATTGGATGGAACAACAATAAACATAAACAAATGGGGCAAAGTTTTACTAATTTTTTTTTTGTCAAAAAGCCACATCATTTCTTATTTAGATTCTCATCTTGTAGTGCTCTGTGATTGGGAAATAAAAAAGAGTTAGTAGGTGTTTGGACGTGAACTTGAAATTATTAATCTGGATTATATTAATTTGAAATTGAAATTATATTTGGTCATAAGTTTTGCAAAGAAATTATACTTTTTCTCATCATCTTAAAAACTCAAAATTTGTACAAATTACTTTTATATTTTAATTTGTTTATCTTATTTTCTATTTTTTGTACATTAAAAAAATATTTTTTTTATAACTTTTTAATTTCAACTTTTCACATGATATATTTAAGAATTATAAGATTTTTTTTTTTTTTTACTTTCTTAAATTTTATATAAAGTCAAAATCAGTTAAAAAAATTGAATAAAAAGAGAGTATTAAAAATTCCCTCAATTCTACCTAAATTAATGATAACAAAAGATTCTTCGCCGTAACACCAACTGACTTTAGGATGTTTTTTTTTATGAAAAGGGGAAAGTGGGTTGGCTAATTATTATTTTTTGTAATAAAGATGAGTTTTTTTTTTTGTTTCAAAATCTAAAATTATGGGGCTAACTTTTAAATTATAGAAAATTTAAAATTAAATTCTACCATTGAAGTGAATTTGAGATTTTCAATCGAAGTTTGAAGTCGAAAGTTTTATTCAGAATATGATAAATAAACGTTGATATGAAATTACGATCTGGATTTAAAGCTGTTTTTTCTACAGAGAATTTGAGAGCATCTCCTTGATTCTGCTAAGTTCTCCACATACAAATCCTCAAAGAAAAAGTTTAAAAAGCTTACAACATCTATCCCCTTTTACGAAAATCAATATCTTTGGCCTCAGTACAGTTTACAACAACAATTACGCCTCAAGAGGCAATTGATTTTGAAATATATATAGACAAAATAAAAGAAAAAAATTAAATTCTTGTTTCAATTAGATCTGAAGGTACAAATATCATTATTAGAATGTTGACTAGTGGGAAGGAAGAGGCTAAACTACAATCAACTGTCTGATGATAATCGGACCTCAAATCAATCTCTGACGTTTTAGAGAGGCCTATTCCTTTTGTGAGTAGGTCTTCCAGAGGAATCTCCTTCAGATGAAACATCATTAGATTTGTTGAATGAACCTGAAAGATGTGCATAAAGGTCAACAACTCTTCTGATATTGTTGTTGAGTTCTCTAATTAAACCAACATTTCTGTTCAAATTATCAGGGATTTTGGACTCATGATTCTGATTAATCTCATTGATTAACAGCCTATTTTGATCCAATATATTCTGAACTTGAACAAAACTCTTTTGACATGTCTGAAAAACTTTACCATCCATTTCTCCTTCCATTTCTTCTTCTTCTTCTTCTTTGAAAGAAATAATAGACAATTGGATTTTTTTTATATATATAATATATAAGTTGTAAAGAAAAGGCAATGCCATGATATATCTGTGTACTTGGCTATAGTATTAAGGAAAAGGCAGAATACCAACAAGGACTGTGGCGAAGTGGTAACTACTCCTTCATTTTTAATCAAGAGGTCTCGAGTTCAATTTTTTTATATATGAAGTCCCCTTTGTTAGGGAGTCCTTTACCTTCCAATGTGGGACTTTTCAGCGCGAATTCAAATTTAGTCGGACTTCAATGTGAATATCAAATACCGGATGAAAAAAAAGAAGAAGGAAAAGGCAGAGAGACAAAAGAGGATAAGGTATTTTGAATTGTTTATTTAAAGACAAAATGTACATGAGACAACATCTCAACTTCAAATTATGACTTGACCTACCTTATAGTATAAAGGGGATCATGTAACTAACATGGTTTATATAATATATGAGATGTCAAATAAAGCAGATCCCATTTTTATAAAGAGAACCTTTTAGTGCGTACCCTACGATATCTAGGATAAAGCCCTATGCTTAGACTTTCAAAACAATAATATTATATCGTAGACATTGAAATTTTGTGGCACTCTACAAGATGTGTTTAATTTGAATTGGGGACTCTACAAATTGTGTTCAACTCAAATTAGGATTCTTGGAGGCTACTCAATCCTAAACCCTAGTTTATGTCTATATAAAAGGTACTAAATTCTCTTAAAAGTCATCTCAAATATCCCATAAACTCTTGGGTTTTTTAAAGATTAAGATCTCGAATATTCGCAAATTCATGAAATATTCATAGAGAGGTCAAATCTAAATCATCCTAGTTTGAGAAATACGCCACTAACGACCCTCGAATCATGGATAAATCTTATGAGAGGAGAATCAAGGGAGGAACATAATTGTATCCGTAATCTTGATAAATACAATTATGTTTCTTCATATTTTTTGTGGTTGTAATTTATTTTTTATCACTTTAAAATTTGTTACAAACATATATATCTTTTAAAATCTAAATATAATATTCTATTTTAGACAAATTAAATAACAAGGTTTCTCTAATACATAAAGCGGAACATAAAAAATAATAAATATTAGACAAAATAATCAGATCAAACATGATAATTATATATATTTTATAAATATAGAAGCCTTCCCACCCTAAAATGACTACTCAAATTTTTGCACTTCAGATTTGGCTATACTCTATATGGGTATCCTTTTGAGCAGAGGCCGAGGCGGAACCATTTAGTCCAAAAGTAAAATCTCACTAAATTAATAGTATATTAATTAATAAATTTTTTAAAATAATAATTTCCTTCGATCTCAATTTGAGCTAGTGGAAAAAATTTACTAATTTCGATAAGATAATAAGATAATATATTTTCAGAAAACCCCTATATAAATATATGGTCCCATTGATATTATAAATTAATAATTTTTTAAAAGTACAAATATATCTAAGAAAATTTAGTGAAATATGATTCTATTATGTTCTATTTTTTTGTTAAAATTTAAATCTAGTTAAATCTTATCTCTAACTTTTCTTATTGCATCAAAAAGTTTCGGTGTTGTCTTTTCTAATTGCACCATAAAATTTTGAAGAGTTCTAGATGCAAGTGTTTTCTTACGCGTAACTGCTTCCAAAAGTATTGTATCATCTTCAACTTTATCATTAACATTATTTTTCCAATGATATCCACAATTTGTTCTAAACTCTGGTCATCTGAGCATGTATCATTTTCACTCATCCAATAGGTTATTATCGACCATTTTATTACGGTAACCGAGATCATTAATCATGACCTCAAGTTCATGAAAGAGGTTTTCACAAGTGGGTTCTTTCAAATTCTTTGAGATTCCATCCCTTTAACAATTTTTCGATGCCGAACACTCTTTAAATTAATAAATATTAATTTATCGATTAAATAATACCTCTACAAAATAATAATATTTCATGGTCTTACCTATATTAATTTAGAGAGGTTTTACTGTATATTATAAAATTAGAATAAATATTTTTAAAAATTATAAATAAATTATTAAATTTTGTTAACCTAATTTTTTCTTTTGAAAAAAATCTCTTAAATTTATTCTTAACCTAAAACTCACTTAAATTTCTGACTCCTCTACTATATTTAGGACACCATTTTTTTCGCCTGTCCACCTTGGTCCTAGTGGAAAGGGTGAGGGGAGGGAGAGGACAATAATAGTTCCATTATAAAACTTGAAAATACTGGGCCTAAAAAGATTGAAAAACCGAGTCTTTTTACAGTTGCAAAGGCATAAAATGAAGAACAATTGTAGTCAGAGTCTGAAGCTACACTACAAATTCTCTCAATAATAAGAACATGAACGTGTAATAGGTAGAACAGAAAAGAGTTAAAATTATCCTTAAATTAAGGGAAAGGGTTTATAAATATTCTTCATTCATGCTTTTGATTTAAAAAATATTTTTCTATTCATTTTTTTGTCTAAAAATATTAGAAACTATCTAATTATACAAACATTCCTATCATATTTATTATTTCTTCCTATAGTTTGAAATATTATATTTTATATCACTAATTAATAATTTCATACCGAATTTCAAGTCAGATACACCTAAATATATGTTAAACAGAGAGAGAGAGGCGAGCGAGAATAGGAGGGAGGCGAGTGAGATTTGTCTATGTTCCCATGTACATGTGAATCACACTAGATACACTCTACATACATGTATTTGTATGTATCTGGTGTGATTCACATGTATCTAGATATAGATACATAGCAAAGTGGTGAGCGAGATGGGAGGGAGGCTAACGAGATTTGTTTATGTATCCTAGATACATGCAAATTTGGACACAATATATCTAGAACAAATTACACCTAATTTTAACCCCATGTATCCCAAGAAATATTTATCTGGATGTATACCAAAATCTGGTAAGATTCGAAATATTGCAAACTAGCATCACTACAAAAAAAACAGCATTTAGCGACGGATTTCAGCGACAAACAATATTCTGTCACTAACTAACGACGAATTAGCTACGAAAAACTAATTTGGTTGCTCAAATATCAAAGGAAATATTTGGATCTTCAATAGTGACGGATTAGCGACGAAAATTGAAATGTGTCGGTAAAATTGGGCGCCTTAATTTGCCTACGAAAATAGCGACGCATGGCGGATGACAAAATTGATAATTTGTTAGCGACAGATTTAACGACGGAAATATTTGTCGCTAGTGTTATTTTATTTCTTGCTACAAAAATTTTGGTCGTTGGCTAATTTCTTTTAAATTATATAGAAATATTTTTAGCGACAGAATGCATATCCGTCGCTAAAATCGTCACTAAATTTTACCCAAATTTTTTAGGGCTCCAATATTTCCCTCTCAACTTTAACACTTTTCCCTCATTTTCACAGACAAAAACTTACCTCTCATCTCTCACAAGCAAAACCTCTCATCTCTCACAGACAAAAGCTCTCATCCCTCATTTCCCACTCACCGTGAAAATGCAATTTCTCTCTATTCTGTTTCTATTTTACCTGTAGAAAAACAATTTAGCAATAAGCTCTATTTTGTTTGTAATGTAAGAATTCAAGTGATAGTGTAGCAAAAAGATTTTGGAACTGTTGTTTCTGATTTCTTATGTATTGCTTTTGTGAAGATTTGAGTTCTGTATTCACTTGCTCACTCTTTCTGGGATTTGCTTTCTGCTTGATTTGTATATATTCCTAAGTAAGATTTATTTCATTGTCTTTAGTTTTACTTATAGAGCTTAACCCCTCCTTTCTAGTCAATGCAAATTCTTATTCTTTCAAAACCTTTCTCTTACAACTATAGCTATCACAGACAACACAAGAGGAAGTAATAATGATTACATATGAATTCGGGACAACATTGTAAAGATAATATAAGATTTTTCTTGAATATATATTGCTATATTCTTTTTTTCTTCTGTTTGTAACATTTTGATTCATTCTCTCGTATGCTCTATTTTCTGTTTGTAACAATGATTTTGATGTTTTCTATGATTCAGTCTCTAAAAGTGAATACCCATATTTTTTTCTTGTATCGACAACATGATTGATTCATCGTTGCTGGACATCAGGTGTTGTTGCTTGGAAGTTGCTTCATCATTGCTTGAAATCAAGTGTTGCTGCATCATTGTTGGAAACTTTTCGCTGCTGCTTTGAGGCTACTTCATTGTTGCTGAAAACTTGTCGCTACTGCTTGGACGCTGCTTCATCGTTGTTGGTATATCAAAAGGTAATTTCAACTCCGAAACCTCATATTTCTTTGTAAATCAAAAGGTATTGTTTTTCTACATTTTCAATTCTCTTCACATATTTGATATTTTATTTACAGATTTGGCTGAATCTCAAAGAAATTTAAGGTAAAGTCTTTGAAGATTTGTTTAGGTAAAGTCTTTAAACTCACAAGTAAGTCTATTTTTTTTTATATATTTCATTGTATCTCTATTCTATATGCTTTTCTGTTCATATGTATTTCTTTTGACAATAATTTATATGTACTGTATTTGAACTCAATCAAGATATCGTATATGATTTTGTGTTCCTCTTCTTCATTTGATTGTCGTTGCCTTTCATTACCTTTTACTTGAGTAATTGGTTGAATTGTCCAACTGTTGCAAGTTTAAGAATTATGGTTTAATACAGTAAAAATTGTTTTTAATCTGGGTTTGGGTTAAAGTTGTTAACAAGTTATTGAAGAAAATCTTAAGAACTACGACTATATATAAACTTACTTGCTTGCCTTTTGTTCATTTTGTTGTATTATTTCTTTATATAAAAATCAAACATTTAAATGAAAATCTCTATCACCAAAATTGTATGAGTCGAAAAAATCTCTTCATCTTTGATTACAAGGAAAAGCATAATAGATTATGTATAACTGCAACCTTTTATTCCTTCAGAATCTATTGACTAAATGGTTTATATAACGAATTGGTGTTGCGTTCTAACATGTTTTGTGTTCTATTAAAGTTTTAAATCTTTGTTGACACTTTTGCTTGTCATTTTTTTTTGTGGTTTCAATTGTTTTTGCTAAACTAATATGTTATTGCTTTATTTCTAATTTTTTGGATAACTCTAATTGTCTTGTTTATTTTAACATTAAATAGGAGTATGAATAATCTAAAATGTAGTTGGATGTACGAGAGGTTAGATGGTCGAGGGGCTATTAATTCTAATTTTATAACTGGTGTCAATGACTTTCTCAAGTTTGCATGTTCTCACAGAAATCACATGAGTGGTGACGAAGTTAGATGTCCATGTAAAAAATGTCACAACATTAATTACATGGATATTGAAACTGTCAAACTGCACCTTTTTCATTTTGGATTTGTTGAGAACTATTTTGTTTGGAAGTATCAAGGGGAAAAAGAAGTGATCAGTGAGATGTCTAGTGATTTACCAGGTGGTACTCAACCTGGATTGGGAGATAATCCATATCGCCAAATGGTTTTGGATGCGGCTGGATCAAATTTTGGCCAGGGTTCATCTTCGCAATGTTATAGAAATATCGAACCTGAGTCATCTTATCATTATGAACCTTCAATGGAGGAAGTTCCTGATCTTTCAATGGAAGAGGAACCTAATCCTGATTCACAAAGGTTTTATGATTTGCTACAATCAGCTGATAGAGAATTGTATCCTGGTTATGTACTGATGGTTTTCAACCATTTGCTCAATCGGGAAGAAAATACTCTTCTTGGCCAGTGATTGTTACTCCATACAATTTACCTCCGGGAATGTGTATGAAAGAAGCTTACATGTTCTTAACTATCATTGTTCCAGGGCCACACAATCCTAAGCAAAAAATTGATGTTTATCTACAACCTCTAATAAAAGAATTGACTTTGTTGTGGGAGACAGGTGTAGAAGCATTTGACATCTCAAAAAAGCAAAATTTTCAATTAAGAGCAGCTTTGATGTGGACTATCAATGACTTTCCAGCATATTCTATGTTATCAGGATGGAGTACCAGTGGCAATTTAGCATGCCCTTATTGTATGGAGGAAGCACAATCCTTCAGATTACATTATGGTGGGAAAACAACTTGGTTTGACAGTCATAGGATGTTTCTTGATCAAAACCATCCATTTAGGAAAGATCGTAAAAACTTTCTTAAAGGTCATACTGTTACAAGATCGCCACCACCTGTTAGAACGGGACAAGAAATTCTTAATCAAATATGTGAGTTGGGGATAAGGAAGGTAACTGAGTTAGATGCTGAAGAAGTTAATAAGAGATTATGTAAGTCATGTGGTTGGAAAAAACGAAGCATCTTTTGGGATTTGCCTTATTGGAGTTCTAATATGATACGGCATAATCTTGATGTCATGCATATTGAGAAGAATGTCTTTGATAATGTATTTAATACAGTTCTTAATGTTGATGGCAAAACCAAAGACAATCCCAAAGCACGTCAGGATGTTGCAAAATACTGCAATCGGTCAGAGTTAGCAAGAAATCCCGATGGAAGCTATCCCAAGGCTGCATATACAATAGACAAGAATGAAAAAAAAGTCTTGTTTGATTGGTTGGAAGGTGTGAAGTTTCCAGATGGGTATGTTTCAAATATGAGTCGATGCCTTGACACAGACAAATTTAAGTTATTTGGGATGAAAAGTCATGATTGCCATGTGTTCATGCAACGACTATTGCCAATTTCCTTTCGTGAGCTACTTCCTAGTAATGTGTGGCAAGCACTTACAGAGTTGAGTTTATTTTTTAAAGATCTAACTTCAACTGTTCTTCGAAAGGTGGACTTAGAGAGATTAGAGGTACACATCCCACAAATTTTGTGTAAGTTAGAACGAATATTCCCTCCTGGATTCTTTAACTCAATGGAACATTTACCCGTGCACCTTCCATATGAAGCAAGAATTGCTGGACCTGTACAATATAGATGGATGTATCCTTTTGAGAGGTAAATATAAAATATTTATGCAGTTATATAGTGTCAATATGCTAGTTCAATATGATAATTTAATTTCTTACATATATAGGTACCTTCGAACTCTTAAAAATATGATAGGCAACAAAGCTAGTGTTGAGGGTTCTATTTGTGAAGCATACTTGATGGCCGAATCAACGCAATTCTTCTCTCATTATTTTGAACCTCATGTTATGTCACGTCATCATAATGTGTCCCGTAATGATGATGGTGGTGTTATGAAAGATGATGAAGAAAATTTATCAATATTCACCCATCCAGGAAGGTTATCGGGTGAAGCCAAAAAGAGAGATTTGTCTCTTGAGGAAATTAAGGCTGCCCAAACTTATATTCTTCTAAATTGTCAAGAGGTTGAGCCGTTTGTGAGGTAAAATTTTAAAGGTTATACTTCTTTCATATAATAAATTTGTCCATATATTATGAATTTATTTTTGACTTATTTTGTTGCAATGAAGCATGTATGTGCAACGTTTGCAAGAAGAGTTTCCGAATCTCTCTCAAGATCAAATAGATGAGAGTCTCGAAACATATTTTTCTGTATGGTTCAAGGAATATGTAAGCCTAATTAAATCATCACTATCATTTAAAATATAATGTGTCGAATTGTCTTGTGAATTTGACTAAATCTTATCATATTTTTTTTAAATAGGTTCGATCCAACCATATTGAAAATGAATACTTGCGTAGTCTTGCTCATGGACCATTAATAAGTGTGTATTCTTATCCAGTGTGTTTTGTTAATGGATACAAATTTCACACAGTACATCGCGGTAGTGCAAGATCAACAATGAATAGTGGAGTTTGTATCTCTGATCCAAATACGGGTGATTACTATGGAAGGATTCAAGAAATTATACAAGTGGAATACCGTAGAGCACCTTTAAAGCAAGTTATGTTATTCAAGTGTGAATGGTTTGATCCGGCATTAAATATTGGTGTTAAGGTGCATAATCAGTATAAATTGGTCGATGTTAATCATCGTCGCCGATTTAAAAAATATGAACCTTTTATTCTTGCGATGCAAGCAACTCAAGTGTGTTATATGTCTTATCCTAGCACAAAGAAGGACAAGGATGATTGGTTAGCTGTATTAAAAGTCAACCCTCGAGATGTCATTGAATTACCTGATGAGGGAGTGATCACAATACCAGAACCAAATCTTCCATTTCAAGTTGAAGAAGTTGAAGTTCATGAGATAGATATGAATATTATTGTTGATGAAACTATACTTCTGCATGATCCAAATGGGGAGGCAATTGAAATGGATGAACCAATTGATTATGGATTGTTTCCAGAGCATCATGAATTAGATGAAGAATTTACAGAAAACGAGTATGAATCTGAAGACGATGATGAGGAGTTCGAAGAAGAAATAGATACAGACTAGTGTATTGATAGTAATGTGCTACAATGTCTTTAATGACGTTTGTTTATAGTAGTATGTTTTGGATGCTATTTGTTTCTTGTGGAAAAACAGTGCTTACTGATTGTTGTATCTTTTGTGTGCTTTGCAGCTCTAATTTCTTAAAGCTATTAGTATCTTTTTGTGTATGACATGCTTCAACTTTGGTTGAAATTTTTCTAAATGTACCTCCCTTTTAGCATGAGCAAACTCAAGAAATAAGATAGTTGTTTATATAGTTGGAAGGCATTCTCAAACTTCTGTTTTTCCTACTTCTGGACATTCTCAAGTTCAGTTTGGTCCATGACATGTGTGAAACATGTGTGAAAGAATCTAAATATTTCTTAAAAGAGAGAAATTCTTTAACTCAGATTTGATAAATATGATTAACTTTGTTTTTTTTGTAGATATGACACGAGGCAGAGGTCGAGGTAACACAAGTCGTGCAAGCAAGATGTCAATTGGAGGTCGAGGTAGCACAAGTCGAGTTAATATGCCTACTGTTCCTATTCCCATAACTAGTTCTCAACAAGGTGGTATTAGTTCTTCTAGTGGACCAAATAATATCATTCAAGTTCAGACTTTAGTTCCTACTATTTCGCCTCATGTTCAAACATCAGATCAATGTAGTACCCCATCAGTTCATCTTGAACCAGCCCCTGTAATACCTAATAGGAGCAATGCAATAGGTGAGGGTGCATCTACTGATCAGAGAAACGTAACAGGTGACTCTACATCTAGTCAAAACAACACAATAGGTGAAGGTGAGAGCAATAGTAACCCTGAACAGCGGACGCTTGTTTTTCTTTCTGCTGCCGGGTTAGTGTGTGTTTGCACTATTATTATTAATATACTGTGAATTTCTGTATCAAAGAGTTCATATAATATCTTCAATTTTTTTTCAGGTTGGAACCTTCAAGTACTTGCTCTAACCGAATATGTGAGTCTTTCAAGAGTGAGCTTGATCCCAAGGGAACTAATTGGAAAAGTGTCCCATAAGAAACAAAAGATTTTTATCTAGGGGAATTCGAGGTATAATATTTCAGCATTTTAATTAAAAAGGTTCATCAGTTTTATAGTTTGGATACTAATGTTGTTATTTATAAAACTATTTCAGAAGGAATTCTATTGGGATCCATCCATTGATAGTGAAGTGAAGATACAATGGCGAAGGAAGGCAGCGAGAAGGTACAGTGATTTCATTTCTGGCTTAAAAAAAGAAGGAAAACGGCCAAAATATATTTCAGAAGAAATATGGGAAAGTTGGATGAGTATTTGGAAGAAACCTGAGGTTATTGAAAAGTCAAAAATAAATTCAAGAAATCGTTGTGGCGGTCAGGATGCAGTTGCCAAAGGAACTCACACGGGAGGCTCTTTTACCGTTGGAGAGCATCGTAAGAGACTTGTAAGTATATTTTCACGCACCCTTCATTTACTTGTGTCACAGTGACTATTTGCAATTGAGTTAGCATTCAAGTTTATCTCTAAGGATTTTCTAGAATTTGTGAACAAGAAAACATTTGTTAATGTCGATGTAGTGCTGATGTAGATGTGTCTCCTAGCTAACCTTACTTTGTTATGAACTAACAGATATGGTCTCGAATTACACTATACCATGCTTTTGTATTTTCATGTACTTTAATTTTTTTTCTTGTATAGGCTATTAAAAATGGTCGCGATCCAACACCAAGTGAGATACATTTGCATGTCCATACACATGGTCATGATGGAAAATCTTTTGTTGGTGAACGAGCTCAAATCGTGCATGTAAGTTCAATATTCTTACTGCTGATCCCAAGGTGCTTTCTAATCTCTTCATTTGTGGCTGGTGTTATTAGTTTCAATTGTTGTGTTCTTTGCAGTCTTGGTCCATTGCTCATTATATATCTTCTTACTGTTGATAATACATGAGTTGATGATCCTAGTAATGCCTATATCTCTTCTTACTTCTCAAATAGTTTAGGAGAATGGTTAACATTGGATGACTTGGTTTTCTCCATTCCCTTATGATTATTGGCATGAAGCTTTTATGATCTGCTAAGTGGTTGAAAAATCTGAAGGTTCTAGCCCCTTTTGGTGACATCTCTTCAAAAGGGAATGGAGATTTCTTGTGAACTCGATTTCTTAATTTTATATTGTTGTTGTGTTTATTTTATACAAATCTAGATAAAATGCTTTATCTCGATCTAGCAAACATTCCCCTTTTCGAGCTTCATTGTTATTGTCGGTATTGATTTTGATTGGAATAAGTTGCAAGTGCTTCCCCTTTATTTTTGTTCTAGCTTCTGTTATTTTTTATTTTTATTTTGATTGGAACACAATTGATCAAAGTAGCTAGACATTGTAGTTATTTCTAGTGTCATTGCTGCTAGGACCATAACAGAAGATACATGTAAGTCTTCCTGCAACATACAAACCTTCTTCAGTGTAATGGGTCTCCACTGCTCAACACATGAAAAATTAATTCCCAGACCAACATTAAGTCCTCTTAGGATGTGCACTGTACGGAGAACATAAAACAGTATATGTATATTTAATTCACCAACTGGTTCAACTGGCAACTGTTATCATCATGTGAATGAAGGAAAACCAATGTTGTTAACTGCCAATATACTATTGTTTCCAAAGGTGGGGACTTATGGTTAGACAATAGGAAAACTACTGAAGTTTACTAGGTGAAAGGCATTATCTGAGGTTTTGGAATATCACAAGTAAAATTATGGACTGGGATCTTGACTGCAGCAACTAGGAAAAAAAAGACATTTTCCTTTCCGTAGCCTAGCAAATTAGGAAAGAAAGATCTATGTTTTCTGACCCTCAGACTTATCTGACCATTCTTTCAACTTCTCAAGTTCTACCCTCAGACTTATCTGACCATTCCTCAACTTCTCCAGCTCCTCTCCTAGATTATTGTTCACGAGATCAACACGAGGACTAGTGTTGATCTGGAATTCTGCTTTCGATACATATCAGTCAGTGCTTTTTATGAGTTGTGTTCTCCTTCTCTAGACACTTAAGCCTGACAAAGATATTAGGATTAGTAGAAGTAGGCGTTGCAGCTTAAATAGTTGTTTCTCAAGTGCAGATTTTTCAGATTTCAATATTTGGTGTTGATCTGGAATTTCGCTTTCGATATTTGATGTTGATTTTGTTCAAAATTTACTCATGTGAACTTTGTTTTGCACAGTTTCTGTTTTTATTCTTAGACCTTTTTTAAATGCATAATTTTTTAAACACATGAGAACTCATTGCTGTTAGTTGAGTCTGGATGTGTCTATTGTTGTTATAAATAAACAATTTCACTAATTTTCACTCTTTTGCAGGAAAAATATCAAGAAATATTACAGAACCAAACACAAACTCAATCTGATGTTGATCAATGGAAAGCATATTATCAAGCAGCGGGAGGGGAAAAGAAAAGAAGGATATATGGTCTCGGAGCTCAAGCAAAAGTATTTTATGGATCAAATTTTCGTGTCTCTTCTGGATCTGATGCTTTTGGCTCAGTACCATGTCCAAATGCTCAAACAACACCAACAGAAAATATGGATGAGTTAGTGGTGCGAATGATTCCTTCGCTAACTAATCACTTGCTTCCTATATTTGTAGAGCAGGTACGTGGTTTGATTTCTCCAGCCTCATTTCAGCCAGACTCTCCTACCAACCATCCATCAACTATTGCAC